GGTCTCCCCCTAAACAAACAAACTGAGCAGCTCCCAGTAAATGCTTAAATTGCAAAGGAGTTATTTTTTCCTTGTTTGCACATTAAAAATAACTAATTGCGTTGCAATCCAAATTTATAAGCGCTTTTAAAGTCCTCTGTTGCTCAGGTGATAACTGTGTGTGCTGAGGTGCATGTATTTGTGCCATATATCTCTGGAAATGGAGTGTATCATGGAAAAGCTCACAGCCTCTTTACTTCCAGCATTCCTATAATAAGTCAAAGAAGTCACACAGGGCCCTTTTATTTCCAAAGCTGGACTTGAATCACGTCAATAAATCTGCAGACTCACTATGAGATGCAGCATGGGTAATGTAAACAGAAAAAAATAAACCCCACCCCCAGCACACCAGAGTTTAAAAATAGGATGTAAGGAGGAAAAAAAAGTTAAGCATCCATACAATAAAAAGAGAAGAAATGCAACACAAGAGCGCTGTGTCAGGCAGTGCCTTGAAATTATCCTCACTAAATTACAGTCGTGCCCTTCCCACTCTCTGTAATTAACAGGAGGGTTTGGTTATTCCAGATGCATTTGCTCCAGGTAAACCCAGATCCTTTTTGTTTTGGTGCTGTAATTCCTTTGCAGGTCTGGGTGACAGTTGAGGAGCAAAGCAAATTACTTCCACAGATGAGGGAAGATGACTGTGAGCAGGTACCAGTGTTTGATTTGGTGAATCCAACGCTTTGCTCCCTTTTTCCACAGTGTAGGTGTGTTCGGTGACATTGAGCCTTCCTGGGAGCACAAAACGAATGCACAGTGAAGCCCAAACAGGAGAACACAACTGCTTGGGATCCCCAACAGCCAAACAAAATGGATTTTTGGCTTGCTGGGTGGGATTTCTGTGGTGGGATGTAGGCAGGGAGCCTCTGATCCCTTATAGACGTGTTTCAGTGCTGGAAAAAGAGGTCAGTCAGAAAATACCATAGGCTTGAGCAGGGAAATCAAAAACGGGGTGATTTCATTTGTCCCCAAGGCCACCAAGGCTTGGCTTGAGGATGTGCCCACCCTGCTGAGCGTGTGGGAAAAACCCCATGAGGTGCTCCAGCTAATTTATCCCTCAGCTCAGAACCTGAGCCAGCTGCAGATCCCATTATCCTCTCCATTTCTGGTCGTAATTGCAGTTTACCTGGAGATTTGCAGATGGAGTTTGTTACCTGGAGGTCTTGAGAGAGAGGGCAGGAGAGAGGGCTGCGTAGGGCTTTTGTAGGTGGGATTTTGGGAAGGTTGGGTAAGGAGATTGATTAAAAAAAAAGGAATTAATTGTAATTGTCATAAAACCCGTGACCTGACTTAACAATTATTTTCATGTATGTGCTTATAACTCAAGTTTATAAAATGCCATTTATAAAATGGCGGTGAATTTTGAAGTGTTTAAAATCATGTATCTCCCTCTCCAATGTACAGTATGTATTTTTCATCTATTGATCTTTCTAGGTAAATACAGCTGGGCTCATTAAGCAAACCTCTCCTGAGGTGTGGCTCCTGCTACCGGAGTGTTTGTGTAGCCTGGGAGCCGCTCACCTGGGGACGGCACTGCTGCATTCCAGGTTCAAATCCAAGGAAACCCTGGCCACCTGCCCTGGCATCCCTCACCTGCTCAGGTTCAGTGTCCTGGTGACTGGAAGGCAAAATCGAGTGGCCTTGTCCACTGGGAGCAGCCTTGCCTGGGAGCAGATGGAACCCTCTGGATGCTCCGTGCTCAGTCTGACTCCCAAGGTCGGTCAGCCAGCAGGACTTTTCCCTCTGGCTGTAAGGCTCAGCTGAAACAGAGTTTGGAGAAGAAGTGAGAGGTAAAGTTGGGCCATTAGAGGGCACTTTTGCAATCCTGGAGAAGGAAAAGGGTGCTTATTATTTCACTTAGGACTGTTTGTTTTGGCACTCTCTTAAATTCAGTGATAAACAGCAGGCAAATCCCTCCAGTCAGCAGGAATATATCAATAAAATATTGACTCAGAGTTTAAAAGAAAAAAAAAAACAAGACAAACTTGCAGAAAACAGAATAAAAGACATTTGGGGAGGCGGCACAGCCTAGAGAACAGAAAATCACACAACATATTTCCTGTAATTTGTGTGGCTTAGCAGCACAGCACTTAGGCCTCAGCTTGTACCTGGCTCCTAAAAACAAATCCAAGACAAGAAAATGGTTTGTTGGGAATTTCAAAGGGCTGGGTGGCAGAGCACGAATTCACAGGCTTACATCTAGCAAGTGGATTTTCTGAGGGACACTGTCAAAGTCATTGGTGATCTTTCCCAGAAACAAAGATGGGATGTATAAATGGACTTTTTGCTTTCCTCTTGACGTTTTCCATGGGTGAACTATGGAGGGTTTAGCTTGAAACCCTGCCAAATTATAATGAGTGCGTTGCAAAAACTAAAATCTGTTTATTAACTGCTGTGAAAGGGTGGTGTAACACTGACAGCACAGCTTCCCAAAACTGTGAGCGAGGTTTGGATGCCGCTTTGCTGTTGTCCCGCTTTCGGAAGTGTCGTGTGTGAAAACTGTGCCCATTTTAAGCCTCTGAGGTTAAATATGTGAAAATGAAAGCACTCAAAATTCTATTAATTTGTCAAAGAACAGAGATTATAGAAGTTTCCTTTGTCAGTAACAGTTGACAACTTTGCAAGGTATTTCATGTGTGGGACGGGCAGGGATCACAGAACTAAATTTAATGTGTCTTTTTGGAGTTATTTTTAAGCCGAAATGCTTTTACAATTAGATAAAGAAATTGGAGAGAAATCTGTACCTTGTCACTGCTCTGTAGCTGTTAAGGGGGACAGAAACACTGTTTATGGGAGTTTTTAAAGTGCATTAGCTAGTGAAATTATATAAGAAGTGAAGCTTAGCCTATAATCAAAATGGTTTATTTTAGTAGAGGTTACATTGCGCTATAGCTGACTATGGGAATACACAGGATTGCAATTTCAGGGGGTTCATGTGGAGGACGCTGTCTGCAGAAAGCACCAGAATTTCTTACCTCTCCAAATAATCTGCTGTAACTGTTGTGATTAAGTTGGAAGGAATTTCATCCCTGTTGGCCAACAATAATACTCGAAAAATCAATAAACAGCGTGATAGAGCACACGAAACTCATCGTGCTTTGTGTGAGGGGAGCTTTCTGCCAGCTTGGGTGACTCAAGCCAGCAAATATTTTGACTTACGATCTTTGCTCCAAAAGGTCAAATGTCTTTAACTTTGCTGGTAAGTATCAACACTTCGGTCTGAAATGGAGCAACTATAGCCACTGTCATCAAAAGCTAACCCAGGACCTGGTTGGGATAGATTTTGACAAAGGCTGGGAAAGCTAAATCAGGATTTACCTGTAGGTAGCAATTGCATGTGTTAGGTAAAGCCCTGGACTCCTTTCCCTTCTGTAGGGCAGAGCACTGCAGTAAGCTGGCATTAAACCATCCCAAATGTTTGAGACCTAAAATTGTGTCCTGTGAGGGAGTGCTCAGTGCACGTCACTCCTGGCTTGTGGATCCTGCTGAGTTTGCCATGTGTTTTCCCTCTCCCATCACCAATTTCAATGGGAAAATAGAAAGATGAAGGGACTGAGCTGGACAGCAGGAGTTGGAGAAAACAGTAGGAAGGGAGGAGGGAACAAGCTGATATCAGGTCAGAGGAGGAGATGGGACCTTCATGTTGGTGGAAGGAATGATTAAATAACAATGTCAGAGGCAGAGTAAGCAAAATGAGGGTGAAAATAGCCCTCCCACAGCCTTGCTGGTGTCAGAAACCCTGCTGTGCAGCATGTGGGTGGCTGTGTTTAGCTCTCATGAGAGCAGGACAGGCAGAAGGGGAGCTGGAGGCAGCAGGGAGAGGGATTTTGGAAGAGCAGTTTTAGTATGGCTTGGACTACAGTGTGCCAATTCTCAAGGAGCTTTATGTTTGCTATTTTTACATAAAATATTTGGGGTGGTGGGAAAAAGAACTATCTCAGCAACAGATTTGATCTTAAAGGTAAAAGGAAGAGTTTGCTGTAAAGTAGTAGTTACTTCACAGTGCAGTACCCAGAGCAGTGCACGACTGCACACTCAGCCAAGGGACAAGATAAAACTGTTCCTGCCAGCTCAGCTTTTTACCAGGTTTCTCCCCAAAATCAGTGCTAACACAGTTTAGGTAATGGCCTAAATGTTTTTTGGTTTTTGGTTTGTTTTTTTTTATTCTCCTAATTAAAAATGGTTATCCTTTAACAATTTAAACTTGATACACTTGTACATAAATGGGCTGTTTCCCCTTTCCCCCCCATCCCAGAGCCATTATATATGAGATCATCCAGTAGATGAAAGGAGATTTCCAGCCTGTCCCACTGTATCTGTTAGGGCAGTCATTTCTGACCTAGTTATAGACATAATAATGAAAGGTTGAGATTATGAATTATTATGCCTAATTTGTAAAGGATTCTCTGCTTTTGTGTTTTGCAATTCCCATCAGGCTTGAGGACTAAGCCCTGCTGAATTGCATGCTAATACCAATGTGCTTTGAATATGTGTGGGTTTGTGTCACATGTTTTCCTAATTCGCTATTTTTGTAAAGAACAGTTTCACTGGAAATATTTACTTTCCAGAGGATTGTTGGAAGCCCAACCAAAATCTCCTAGGGGAAGCAAAATCGATGTACCCTCCTTCTGCTCTGTAGCTCCCAAAGCCGTTTCTGCCGTGGCAAAACATCAAAGTGTAACTCACCCAAGCATGTGGAAGCCTTTTGCTCGTTGGTAGCGATTCCAGTTTGCAAGCAGTCACAGTTCAGGATGGGTAAATCTCGGTGACACCCTTTATCTGAGCCCTGTGACAGTGAGAGCTGAGTCCTTACCGTGAGTTTTCCTGGCCTTTGCGTGGCAGCGAAGGTTCGTGCACAGCACAAAGCTCCCGTGAGGTTCTTGTAGGTGTGCCCACGTTCCAGCTCAGACCAGCTGCACGTGGTGCCCCTCCTGAGGTGGCACTCCCTGTCGTTGCTGCAGGATGCTCCTGCTGCTGCTGCTGCTGCTGCCGCCGCTCGGCTCCAGGCCCCAGAAGTTGCCCACCAGGGATGAGGAGCTCTTCCAGATGCAGATCCGGGACAAGGCGTTTTTCCACGACTCGTCAGTCATCCCCGACGGAGCGGAAATCAGCAGCTACCTCTTCCGAGACACCCCCAAAAGGTACTTCTGCCTGGCCCAAGTGAGGAAGCAGAACTTTGAAGACAGCAGCTCTGGTTGCTGGGTGCTTCGAGATAAAAATTGGATCCCAACCAGAAAAATACAAATGCCAGTGTTCTGTTTGGTGAAGTAAATATGTGAGCCTCCCTCCTGATCTGGCCTCCCCAGCTGAGGGTCTGCCCAAGTTATTTGATTTCTGGGATAAGCCCAGAGCTTCCCCAGACCGCAGAATTTCCCTGAAGTGGGGCCACTGTCCCTGTCCAGAGGCAGTGGGAGTGGGAAGGAAATTAGAAACTAGAGGCTTGACCCACCACGCTTGTCCCTCTTCACTGTTCCCTACTGTGCTTTAAAGAAGTAGCGTTAGGCAGTCTGGTCTGAACTTCCCACTTCCCAAACTCCACCCTATGGGTCAGAAAATACTGAGGGTTAGGCTGGGGGAGAACCTGAGGCTCCAGAGAGTTCAGGGAAGAGCTGCATTGCCTCATATCACACACCTCCTCCAGCCCTCATTACTGAGGAACATTTTACAGTGGGTGATGTGTGGTGCCTGGAGGGTTGTGGGAGGGCAGCTGGATGTGTGTGTACCTCTGTGTGCTTGCCTGGATACAATGTAAAATGTGTGTCCTGCTTGGAAGAGCACATTCCAGGAGAGATCCCCTTTCCCTCATTTATCTCTGTGATTATTTGTGTCTAGGTAGTATAGGGTAAGTAAAGGTGGTGGAGGGGAGGGCAGGAGGCCAGAAACCCCTCTGCTCTGCCTTGACACACAAATGTGAACTCTCCTCCCTAGCTCTGCCCACCATTTCCATTCCCATTCCCATTCTCCCTCTGCCTGCTGGTAACACTTTTGACTCTGTGGCCCCACCAAGACCATCCCTGATGGTGCCAAGTCAATCCCTGCCAGCTGACTGCCGTCAGGGGTTCCTGACACGTGGGTCTGTTAACCTCCCTCTAGGTATTTCTTCGTGGTTGAAGAGGACAACACTCCCTTAGCAGTGACAGTGACACCGTGTGATGCCCCTCTGGAGTGGAAACTGAGTGTGCAGGAGCTCCCAGAGGAAGCCAGCGGGGAAGGATCAGGTAACAAACCATCAGAGACTTCCCCTGTCCCCTTCCCTGCTTTTCTCCTGGATTTTGGGTTCCTCAAACACTGAGTCTCGCAGCAGGGCTGTCTTTATCACCTGCTGTTTCTGTCTACCAGGGCAGGAGACTGACAACAGGCAGCAACATGAAAAGGAAAAGAACTACAAAGTAAAAGCTGAGGTTACAGTCACAGGGGTCTGGATGCTGCCAGAGCAAACTGTGTTAGCCCAGAGCCACTCAGTTGGATGGGGGCTTTGCTGTGAGGTGTTTACACAAGATAAGAACTGGAGAGACGGGGCTGGCACTGCAGCAGGACTGAGCTCACCCCTTGGAGGGCTCACCCCCTGACACGGAGCCGTGCAGCTGCTGCTCAGGACAGAAAAGGGCTGCCAGAGCCTCTGACACATGTGCTGAGCTGTCACACACCACATGGTATGGCCACTGGTCCCCACCGTGTTTAGCAACAAAATTTTAGTGTGACTCAGATGACCAAAGCCAAGGGTCCACATCCAGGTGGAACAGGCAGGTGAGTGAGTTTCCCCTGGGGAAAACTGCATGGCAACTCCAAGTGTGATGCCTGACACTCCAGTGGAAGGTGTTAGCTACCACTCATGAAACTCCATTAATGCTGTTCAGGTGGAATTTCTGTTGTGTTTGGGTTTAACCCGAGTGCTAAACCAATTTTCCTCTCTGATTTGACACAATTGTTGATCAATTACATCTTCCTCAGAGGACAAAACCTTCCATCTCACATTTGTATTTTATCAATGTGCCTGTTAGAGCTCCGTTTTCTCACATTTGCAGAGTGTGTCTGTACAAATGTTTCCTTTTGCTCGTATTCCAGGTGACCCAGAGCCCCTTGAGCAGCAGAAACAGCAGATTACCAACGAGGAAGGCACGGAGCTCTTCTCCTACAAAGGCAACGATGTGGAGTACTTTGTGTCCTCCAGTTCCCCATCTGGGCTGTACCAGCTGGATCTGCTGTCCACAGAGAAAGACACCCATTTTAAAGTGTATGCAACCACCACTCCGGAGTCAGACCAGCCTTATCCCGAGCTACCTTACGATCCCAGAGTGGATGTCACCTCTCTGGGACGCACAACAGTGACGCTGGCATGGAAACCGAGCCCCACGGCCTCCTTGCTGAGACAGCCCATCCAGTACTGCATAGTCATCAACAAAGAGCACAACTTCAAAAGCCTCTGTGCTGTCGAAGCCAAGCTCAGCTCTGACGACGCCTTCATGATGGCTCCAAAGCCGGGCCTGGATTTCAGTCCCTTTGACTTTGCCCATTTCGGCTTCCCTGCAGACAGCAACTCTGGCAAAGAACGTGGTTTCCTAAAATCGTCCAAGTTTGGGCGGCAAACATCCCCAAAGCCGAGAGTTGACCTGCATAGAGTCTGCATTGGGAACAAGAACATCTTCACCGTGTCTGACCTGAAGCCAGACACCCAGTACTATTTCGACATGTTTGCAGTGAACACCAACACCAACATGAGCACCGCCTACGTCGGCACCTTTGCCAGGACCAAGGAGGAGGCGAAGCAGAAGACAATCGAGCTGAAGGATGGCAAAGTTACAGATGTGTTCATCAAAAGAAAGGGAGTCAAATTTCTACGTTTTGCCCCTGTTTCATCTCACCAAAAAGTCACTTTTTCCGTTCACTCCTGCCTGGATGCTGTTCAGATCCAAGTTAGGAGGGATGGAAAACTTCTCTTGTCTCAGAGCGTGGAGGGCGTGCGGCAGTTCCAGCTCCGGGGGAAAGCAAAAGCTAAATACCTTATCAGGCTGAAGGGCAGCAAGAAAGGCGCTTCCATGCTGAAGATCCTGGCCACAACGAGGCCTAACAAGCAGTCATTCCCTTCCCTTCCCGAAGATACGCGGATCAAAGCCTTCGACAAGCTCCGCACGTGTTCCTCGGTCACGGTGGCGTGGCTGGGCACGCAGGAGAGGAACAAATTCTGCATCTACAAGAGGGAAGTGGATGACAATTACAACGAAGAGCAGAAGAAAAGAGAGCAGAACCAGTGCTTGGGTCCAGACACGAGGAAGAAGTCGGAAAAGGTTCTCTGTAAATACTTCCACAGCCAGAACATCCAGAAAGCAGTGACCACAGAGACAATCAGAGGCCTGCAGCCTGGCAAGTCCTACCTGCTGGATGTTTACGTGATAGGGCACGGCGGGCACTCGGTGAAATACCAGAGCAAACTGGTGAAAACAAGGAAGTTCTGTTAGTGCCCCTGGACAGAGGAACACAGGGAACTCCGGACTGAGCGCTATCCTGCTTCCGAGTATAGGGATTGACTACTTGCACAGCTGAGAAGTTGTGACCTGTATTTGTACTGTGTAGAAAAGATATCAACTTGTATATTTATGTTTACATAAGTCGTTGTCTGGAGGAGCTGAGGCTGGTGCTGCCTGGTAGCAGCTGGCAGCGGTGTTACCACGAGTCCAGTGACCCATGTATGATGCTCAGTAGATGTCCAAGGCAGCAGAAAACCTTGGAGGAACTGGCACACCTTTGCTTCCATATTGCATGAACTGCTTCTAAATTATTTTATACTTTAAAAGGCTGAGGTACATCATTTGTCCACCTTGTTACTCACACACACAACTCACAGACATATGCCCCTTCTCTCAGTGTAGATGGTAGGGTTTCTGTAAATTATTTTATAGAGTCTTGTTTTAAATGTTTATGTTTCTATGATTGTAAACTATTAAAATCTCCCCCCAATAAAATACAGATCTAAACTAAGTATTAACTGGGCTGCACATGAAGCAGTTTCATTGCTAATGTAAATTCTTACCTAGCTGATTTTCTTGTTTAAATACTGTATGTATTTCATGTACAAAGTTGCCATAACGTTATATTCCTGTACATAAAATTAAAAATATTAGATTATATATTGTTGACTTTTTGTTGGGATTTTTTTTAAATTCTAAGTGGGCAGACAGACATGGGGATGAGAGAGAAATGCTGAAACTTGAACTGAATTCAGTTTTCCTGTTTCATTGTGGCTTGGAGCCTGAGTTAGAGAAGCCATGGGAGTCTTTTGTACGGTCTTTTGTTATTTTTTGTCAGATTGTCATTGGAAGCATTTGCTTTCTGGGTGCTGCTGGGTCTGACCACAGCAGTAATAAGCTGAAAAGATTGTATTTTTTCCACTGACAAGAATGGAAGTGCTACCAAAACGCAGGATAGTTTCATTTAATTTGCAGCTATTTCCACGGTGTAGATTTCTTTAAGATAGTGTAGTTCTAGATATCATATTTTCTAAATTGTCTTCTTTGTTTTTCCACATCACCTCCATTGACTCAAGAGCCTGTAGAGAGCTGCTTAATAGAAAACACTCCTCAGAGAAGCAGCTAGACCAGCCCCATTTGAAGCAGTGAAGGTAGGAGGGAAAGGGACCAAAATCCATATAAAGGCTGAAAGCAGGTTCCTCTTATGCTGCTGACAGGGAAAACCAGAAGTTTTGGTCTTCCTGTCCTTCCCTGCAGAGGTGAGCTCCAGTTTTCCTTGGCCCCACAGTGTTGAGCTCCTCACATTTTCCTTTCTGCTGCCCCTAGCACGTTGCAGGTTGCAGACTGGTGGGTGACAGTAGGGTTTTGTGGCTGCACAAGCTCCTGTGCCATTCCACATGCAAAATTTGTTGTGATTCTCCCCCCAGACCCAAAAAAAAAAAAATAGGTACCATATGAAGATTGATCAGAAGACACCTGCTGTGTTTAATGTTATATAATAAATGGAATAATGGGAATTCAGATTTCTCTGGAGACGATTCAGATCTCTCTGATTCCTTAAAGGAAGGTAGAAGCACACACTTGCTGGATTACCGTTCCAGGGTGTCCAGGAGCAGTAGGTGACTCCAGCTGGAAATCCTCAAGAACAGGACACTGGTACCAAGGTTAGATCACTGGTTGCCAGGGAGATACTTTCCCTATATTTCATAGTCTGGAAAGCTACTGAATTCTTAAGCTGAAGACAAATTTTTAAGCATTTCTCTCTTTACTGCTGCCAGTTGTGTGGGGATCAGTACCCCTTCTACTGGCCTAGTATGATGTTTACTTCAAAACACATGTTTTACCACAGTTCCAGCTCTGCTTCTTCTCTTCAGCCAGATTTCTCTGAGTTTGGATACTCACCCAGCTCACTTGGCTTTCCTGCCTGCTAACCCCTTATTTTTGCAGCATGTCACAAAATTAAAAAAACTCCCCAAGATGTGTGCAGCTTCTATTTCTGAGCACACTGATTTCGAAGAAAAATGTCACAGGAATTGTCTTTATTTCCCACTGGAATTCTTCTCTTCCTGAACAGCCAGCTCTGTTTATTCTTCTGGATTAAACTGAGACCATATTAATGCCATATCTACTAATCATCACATTAGTATTCAGGTCTTAATGATCTGAGAGAGGCTGTTCTTTGAAGGATAGAGTCAAAATAAAGGCACTGTTTTATACAGTGCAAATACAAGCTTAACTGAGAGGTGACTGAAGCAGGGGTTAAAGTAAAATGGGTCTCACCTGCTGGGAAGGCTCCAGAGTGAGTGTTTGTGAAAGCAGAGAGCCCATGTAAGAAGTCATAGCATGGGCAACATGGAAACAGATATGAAAAGAATTTATAAAGAATGCAATAGATGAATACCTGGTGTATAAGGTCAAAAAACCCCAGAATATCACATACATATATAAATATACATAAAAATATACATAGGGGCTCTTTTTTTTAAGCACAAAGCTGGCAAGTTAATTAAAATAGAAAGCTAAGCTGGGAAATAGAAGGTTAGATGGAGTTCAGTATTCATACTGATGGTATGTGTCCCTTTGGGACAGAATGCCACGTTGGAATTTGCAGCTGAGGAACATGCAGGGCTGTAGGAAAGCAGCAGAGGTGGCTCACAGGGGTGGCAGCACCTCCTTAAGGCACATCTATTGCAGGACTGTAACAGAGAAGTTCTCTAGAGATGAGGTTTGTTTCAAAGCTGCTAAAGAGTCACTGAGCCATTGCAAAGCCACAGCAAGATAATCTTCAACACCTTCATCAGTCAAAGGGGGCTTACTTAGTTTTACTCCTTTACTCACTGGTAAATATGGCAGCTGTCTTACCATGGGAACTTCAGAGCGCCCAAAATGGTCCATGAGTTACAGAACAAAAGGTTACGATGGTGGCAAAGCTGCAGAATAAATTCACCAGTGATGTACACAAACATTTCAATAACTCCACTAGTAGCAACAACAGATGGGACTGAGAGCCATATTTCTTTGGGTTTTAAGCAGCAATTTTAAGACTGGTAACAGGGAAAAAGCAAATCCTTATTTTGAACAGAAAGCATTTACCTTAGCACTTGGCAAAAAAATGCAATAGTTGCGGTTGCTCAAAGTCCTTTGACAAGTCAGGGTTTGGGTTACCACGTTTGGATACACTCAGTCATGTGAAAATGCATTTTATTTAATTCAGTACATAAGCCATGCTGGGGAAATGTGTACCAGGAACCCTGAACTCTCCTCTCTCTCTTTGCTTGGAAACCTATTCAGAAACCTTTGTGACAGCAGAGATCAGCCCTCAGTTTTGTGGCAATACGTGAATCTGGTTTGACTGGGATTGTCCCAGATGTGAACAGTACAGCTGGAAACTCATGTTCTCAGTTCTGCATCTGTTCATTGAAATTCCCAATTTTTTTATGTCCTCTTCCATTTGATAATGTTTGCTATTACTTAAAAGGTGTCCTGACATTCCAGTGATGTTAAGAGGCTAGAGGAATATAATTTTTTCATTCTTGACTATTACACACATATTTTTTTTTTTTTTTGTCTCTTACTTCTTGCTGCTGGTTTTCTTTCAAACACTTCTGTATAGAAGGTGCAGGAGAATAAGATGCACAGTTTTGCCCAATAAACAAGCTCTGAGCAATTTCTCTTCCTCTTCTGGGAGACAAATAAAACTGATTGGGTTAAAAACCACGGGGCTGTGGCATATCAGTAAACTGAAGCCATAGAAATCTGAGGGAAAACCTTGCAAAAATACCTTTCTTTGCTGGTTTTCCCTCTTACATGGACTTTTTTTTTTTTTTTTTATGGCAATATGGGTGCAAAATAAATCCGCTCCAAAGAAGGCGGCTTTTTCCATCTGCTTTTACCCCACTTCCACTGATTTGAGCAGTGACACAAAATGCAATCCAATTCCTCAGGGAAATATCACCCAGAGCCTGGGAGGATGTAGCTGGGCTTCATTAGCAGCTTCACCACTGGGGCCAGGTGATCCTGCTTCCCTTAACAAACCTTTGCACAGCAACTACGGAAGATTCCTTGCCTTCCCCTGCCACAGCAGTGTGCTCCTAGAGGTAGGTGGGTCAGTTTGTCTTTGCTTCTTTAAATCTGTTTTTGAGTAAAAAGAGAATGTTCAGGCCTTCAGAAGCTTTGTTTTTATGCTTTAACTCTGCCAGAGAGAGCTACTCGGTTTTGTATCGTGATGTTGGTATTTCACACAGTTGTTTGTGAGGGCTTAGTAAGTGTGGCCCTATTGAAATAACTTTTTCCCTCTTTGTCTCTCCTTTTGTCTGAAAAGTGTGAAAAAAGCCTATTTCCTTGTATGAGGTCTCCTGAACCTGCTAACCTTGTGCATAAGAAGTTTAACTTAAGCTATGATGTCTTACTTCAGAGAACAAACAAAAGAATTATTCTTTTGTTCTCTGAGCAAACAAGGAATAAATGCTTCATACCCCAAACGTGTGTGGATAATAAAATGGCAAAGCTGCTGAAAGGCTGATAGAGAGGAAATAATGAAATGCTGTTTTTTGAGGGTTTTATTGCTGCATTGATACATGCTGTGGCTGTGTCTTGATTCTGGGTTTGGATATTCATGTAGGGTAATGCCTGCTAGAGGTAAGCAGTCACTTGCTTAATTGTTTCCCTCGATTTGGAGAAATGTGTGTTTGTAGCAACAGGCAGCTAAAATGACTATAAATTTCTGCTCCAATGCCTTAGTTTAAATAAATGCTGACAGGGTTATTAAGTATTAATCTTATAATGCATACCTTGCAAAGAGACCTGAGTTCTTGTTTTAATTGTGTTAAAATCCTTTTTCTAAGTCTAGCAAGTGTGGTAGTGAAGAGATCGTCTGACTGTGTGAAATCTGGTTGTAAGGTGGGAGTAACACCACAAAGGGGACACAGTGTTGTGGCTTGCTTTGCTTCTAGAATGGAAGTTAAGAAATTATCCTGCTAATTTTCAAAGTAGGGATTTTTTGGATGGGGGAAAAGATCAGAGAGTCTGGATTATAAAATGATATGATTCTGGTATTCAGTGGTTTAATGTAATTCCTAATTAATACTGATTTTACCTGTGCTGTTCCACACATGGAAATGGACATTTTTTCAGAGGAAAGAAGGATAGAGAACTAAAACTGAGATGTTTTGTGAAGTAAATTATTTTAGTCCCATCCACTCTTCCTCCTGATTTCTTTAACTGTTAAGTAGAAATGAGTGTGTTGTAAATATTGACTTCCCCACTCCCTGCCTTTTCAAGCCACTGTTCTTCAAATGTTGGATTCTCCTGTTGAGCTGCAGCAGCTGTTTCTGGCTGTGTAATTTAATCCTACATTTTAAATACATTTAACATGTAGAGGAGAAGCTGAGCTTTTCACATCATTTCCATATTAAACCTTTTCCCCAGTAGCTCTGTGTTAGTGAGAAGAGCCTTTTTTTTGTTGTCTTGAGGTGCTCCATGGATTTCAGAGTCCCTTTAGAGTTTCAGTGAATCCATGAAAGGCTACGACAGCAACTGACACAATTCAGGGATGGTTTAGTCTTCTAAATAAGTGTTTAGACTGGTTTATAAACTTGTGGTATTAATCCTGCCAGGGAGACAAATTCTTACTTCATTTCATGTGTTTTATGGTTCCAAAG